CCAAATTGTTTTTTCTTTCTTTCTTTCTCTCTTTTTTTTTTTTAACTTTCAGATAATCTCTACACCCAATGTGGGGCTTGAACCCACAACCCCAAGATCAAGGGTCACACAGTCTCCTAATTGAGCCAGCCAGACACGCCTTCATTATAATCTTGAGCAGCTTGTTTTAACTTCTTCACCTTCCTGCATGTCATTTCACGAAAATGGTATATCCGTCAGGGTTCCCTAGAGAAACAGAGCTCATAGGATGGACATGTTATGCAGAAAGAAATTTATTTTAAGGAACCGGCTCATGCAATTGCAGTGACTGGCAAATCCAAAGCCCACAGGGTCTCACTCTGTCAAAATTTGACTTCCAGGGTGCAGGGGGGCTCAGTCGGTGGAGGCTCTGGCTCTTGGTTTTGGCTCAGACCATGATCTCAGGGGCATGGGATCAAGACCCTCGTTGGGCTCCATGCTCAGGGCTGAGTCTGCTCCAGACTCTCTCTCTCTCTCTCCCTCTCTCAAATAGATAAAGACAATCTTTAAAAACAAAACCAAAAACCCCTGACTTCCTCCTGACCTTGGTGGGGAGCAGGGGGCAGAGGGCCAGGCCGCAGGGGTGAGCACGGATGCCCCCAGGCACCCCGCACACTGGAGACCGGGGCAGCACCAGGGCTGCGGGGCAAGGGTACGTCCTCGTGGGAACGCTTGTCCGATGCCCGGCACCGCTCAGCCCCTCCTCCCAGGCCTGACTCTCTTTGCTGCCAGTGCTCGCCATCCACACGGCAGTGAGGGAACTGAACTCGCTCTGGTCGGGGTTCAGGCTGAGCTCACCCGGCTTGCTGTAGGACCTCCACCGGCTAAGTGTTCAAAGACCAAACCAGAAGGCAGGTCCTCCCGAGTTCAAGCCCCAAGTACCACCGTCCGGAGTCCTGTTTGGAACCTGGAACTCTCTACAGAGGCTGGAAGTGGGGGCTGGAGGCTGAGGCAGGAAGAGAGGGGCTCGGGGTAAGCTCCCCCTAGACCCTCACACACCAGCGCGTGCCTCTGTCCTACGAACGACCCGCGAAGCAGCCTGAGGTCAGCCCCAGCAGCCCCGGGGGCCCAGCAAAGCCCAGTAGAGGGCAGGGGTCTTCCTGCCCCCCCACTCCTATGGTGCAGGTTCACCCTAAAATGGGCAGGGCCCCCTAGTCTTCCAGCCTGAGGGCAGGGCCGTTTTCAGAGAAGAGCTCCTCACACCCGAGGCCATTGGTCTGAGGCCTGCTCTCTCCGCCTGCACCCAGCACACCACAGCCCTCTGCGGGACAGAAGGAGCCCCCATACGAGGGACCCGACCTGCTGTTTCGGGATCTCCAAATACATACAGACAGAATCACATGAACCTGAGATGCCCATGATCACAGGACCTTATATTGTAAAAAGAGGGCTTGCAGCTCCCCGTGAAGGAAAACTTCCTAAAAATCCTGTAATAGTCTTGTTACTAGCATGATTGTATGATATTGTAATTTTGTGTCAGAAAGTGTTCATTTGGGACGTCTGGGTGGCTCAGTCGGTGAAGGGTCTGCCTTTAGCTCAGGTCATGATTCCAGGGTCCCAGAATCCAGTCCGCACAAGCTCCCTGCTGGGCGGGGAGCCGGCCTCTCCCTCGGCCGCCGCTCCCCCTGCACCTGCTTGGGCTCACGCTCTCGCTCTCTCCCTCTCTGACAAATAAATAAAATAAATAAAAAAAAAATAAACAGAAAACTGAAAGTTAAAAAAAAAGTAGAAGCATTTGTTCGTTAAACGTGAACACTTCAAACATGTTTCCATTGTTCATCCTGAGGCTTATCTGGAGCCTCACCAGACACCAGGACTGTGTGCCAGGGGCAGCTGTGTCGCCCAGGTAGAAGAGACTCGGTTGGAGGGAAGGGCGCCCACCCCACCCCAAGCACTGGGTTGCAAAGGCTGGGGGGAGGGACAGGGCAGAGGGGGCTGAGGGGAGGGGGGCAGGGCAGAGTGGGCAGGGGAGAGGGGCTGGGGGAGGGCCTGGGGCACTTCCTGCCAGCCTCTGGCTGTCACTGCAGGTGATGTCAGGGCCTCCCTCCAGGGCCACCAGGGGCCTCCCTCCCTGTCTCTCTAGGAACTGGAGCAAATATTCTGCACAAGCTCTGTGTGGCCAGCTTACTCGCAGCCCCAGGGGCCTGGGGAGGCAAGGTTAGGGAGCAGGATCCTGGCCTGCCCCCGAGGAACTTCCACTCTGCTGGGAGAGGCGAAAAAAGCTACCTGAAGCCGAACAGTTAAGTGCCCCCACTGGCGTCTGTACCAGGGTTCCGGCCATTGTCCACCTAAGAGGTGGCTCTGTGACCGACCCTAAGTCAAGAAGGAGTGTCGGGGCAGGCCCTCCCGGGGGCCCCCCAAGGGGCAGGGCCTCCGGCTGGCTTCCCATTCTTCTGTGGTTCCCACAGCGCCCAGGCCTTCTCAGCTCACAAAGAACTTCAGTGCTGGCTTTTGACTGAACCTTTCCCCTTTGTATCTGTCTCTGCGTCTCTCAGCATCTCTGTCTCTATTAGTCTCTGGCTCTCTCTTGTTTCCCAACATCCTTCCCGAGCCCCTGGGGAGCAGAGCTTGGGGGCCGGGCAGTGGGAACCAGACTGTGTCCTGTTCTCACCAAGGACAATAAGGGCCGGAAAGGGCTGGAGCCAAGGCCTGGCGCGGACTCTGTCGCTCCCCGCCTGTCCTGGGCACCCCCCACCCCCCGTCCGACCCTGCGGTGTCCCATCCCTCCAGTGCCAGTCCAGAAGGGGTCCAGCCTCTGCCAGGGATTAAGGAGCTCTCTTACCTCCCCTTCCCACTGCCCTTCTCTCTGGTGGCACCACCTCCGGCCCCCAGACCCGTGCCTCCAGGCCAGGAGCAGCTGGAGTGGCCTCCTCTGCCGGGCTCCCCACACACCCAAGGCCCCGTCTCCCTGTATTATTTACTCCTGTTTCCGGAGCTGGTGGCGGTGCTGGCGGGCAGGCGGGTGTCAGGGCCACGTGTGAGGGAGCAGGAGGAAGCATCTGGCTTCCCCCTGTCCTCCAGGGGCCCGCTGCCTCCCTGTCCCCAGGGCCTCCGGCCGCCAGGGTGGAGTGGAGCCCACGAGAGCAGAAAGCGCCTTCTCTCCCAGGAGAGAGAAGCGCCTTTGCCTTCCCACCTTCAGGCCTCCAGAAGCCATGACAACCTCACGCCCCCTTACTTAATGATGCTTATTAGTGGGTAGGATACCCCTGTCAGGGTTAATTGGTAGGTTAAGCCTGTAACCTACAACTAGGAACCCCAAGATAAGCTGGGTGGAGGGCTGAGGCTGTCCCCAATCGGCCTTGTAAATGCACCTGTTCGCTGAAGGGGATCATTATCCCTGAGCCACTTGTTGGCCCTGGTGCCTACACAGTGGGTGACAGCAGGTGCCCCAATCGCTTGGCATGTTCCTGGCCCTGCTCTCGACTCTTCCCCACCCTTCCTGAGTCTGGCCCTATACCCAAACTCTCATCCTGGAGTCAGGGTGCCCTCAGGTGGCCAGATCCCTGCCCCCCATGTCTATGTTCCCTTGGCTGAGATCTAGCTCTCTGCTGGTCCGTTAGGAGGACGTCAGGGTTTCATAGAGGGCGCCCTAGAACCAACTCAGCTTCCCCTTAGATCCAGGGTCTGTTTTTGACAACCTGTCATCCTCCCCAAGAAGGTGCCACATACCACAGCCCCCTAACCATCACTAGTTCAGTTAAGAGCCTAGAGCTGCCATTCCCTTGCATGGAGGCTCTGCTGGCCCTTGAATGCTCTTTGCCTCTGCTCCCAGGGACATGTGCTTCAGGGGCCATCAGTCTGATGGCCATCAGACTCCAGCCTCCAAGACGCCAGTGCTTCAGGGCCTGCCTGGGAGGCTGGACAGACTTGGGCCAGAACCCTGAGACCCAGCCGCAACCTTCCCCTGCCCTCTGGGCAGGCTTGACCAGCAGGTTCGAGCTCCTGGCGCCCTCTGCAGGGACCCTGGGCACACTGCAAGCCACTCCCCTAAGCCAGAGACTGAGGAGCATGGCGGCTGGTGCGGTGACCTCTCATTAGAGGGCGGGGCTCTAATCCTTGACCAGGACCCCCCTCCATTCACTTCTTCGCCTCCACTGGGACTCCATCCCTACTCAGACACATCTCATTTACAGTGTTTTCTTGCCAGAAGGGCAGCTTCTGCCCACCAACCCACGTCTTCACTACCCATGACCAAGCACTGAGCAGGACACGAAGCTGTGGACACTGAAGCCCATGTTATCCAGCAGGGGAGACGCTGCGCCATGGCCTCAGAGGACAGGCACTCTGGACGGAGAGGCACCCCTCAGGGCAGAGCACAGAGCTGGATCTGAGAAGCCACATCCTTATTCCCATCATGGTTGGCTCCCAGGCCGATGGCTTGGTCCCTATCATTTTATACACTTTGCTAAAGTGTAGCAAGTTCCTGATCTCTTGGCTACAAGACAGAGAAGAGAAACGGAGGCACCTGAACAAAGATGGGGCAGTGATCAACCTTGGAGTCTTTCAAAACACAACCATCTGTCTGTGCTGGAGGTGAACGGATGGGTCCAGGAGGGCAACATCAGTGGGCACTCCCCCACCCCCCACAAGGCCTTGGAGCAGAAGGGGCAGGAGGCTTGTTTACTCCGGGTGAGAAGTCAGAGTAACAAGGCCCCAGAGGTGTAAAGGAACTCCCGGGGGGAGCTGCAGGGGTAACAGTTCTGCTCCAGGATCTACTCCCCCTGATGGTAAAGGAAGGCTTCCTGCACTACAGCCTTGACCCCTTTTCTGAAAGGTCAAGATGGCAGGTCACCCACGCGCTTTTCTTCCACCTTGAGACTTTCACACTCATGGCACGGACAGCCGTCCATAAACATCTACTAGAAATGAACCTAGGAGGAAGGCAAGCCCCCCATCCCCGAGGTCTGAAACCAGCAGGTATCCGACTGCCACAACCTTCGGCACACCCCTGCAGGCCTGGGCAAAAGATAGCACATCGCAAGTCCTGGGACTACAAAGATCAACTTTATTGGACATTCAGGGTCAATTTCTCTTCTTGCCCTTCCCCGTGACCCTGGCTGGGGTGAGGACGGGAGCCGCTGCCTGGTACAGCGTGGAGGAGATCTTGTTGATGTAGTACAGGCCGACCATGGAGAAGATGAAGCTACACCGTGAAGACAGAAAGGTCACGGTACCGGCACACGCCAGCCCGGCACCCTCTCGGCACACGGCAGTGGCCGGGGAGGCAGCTGGCTCCGGCTGAGGAAACCCCTTCCCCAGCTGTGAGGCCCTTACCAGGTGGTGACGCAGACTCGGTGAATGAGGCCAGATGCAAGGAGAGCCAGCAGGAGGCAGAGAAGAGCTGGGAAGGCAAGAGGGGACAAGGGGGGTGGGGGTCAGAAGTGGTAACAACAGGCACTCACATGTGGAGGCTAGGGGACATCGGGGGCCTCTGAAGCTGGGGGAACCTGTGTCGGGGAATGTGGCACGACATCCGCAGGAGGACTGCAGATGCCCTGAACGATGGCCAGGATATGGAGGAGGGGGGACACGTGCTCACTACCAGCTCTGTCCCAAATATCACCTCCCTATCCTGGCTCTCTTCCAACATAAAGGAAAAAGATAGTGATACAGAGTCTGAAAGGCAAGGTTTGCTCCCATTTGGGAAGGGGAGGCAAGGCCTTTCCGACAAAAACCAGCCACTAAGGACCAACTCGTGAAACTGGCTGGCCAGGGGCGGAAGCTGAGGGCCTCGCTCCCTGGATGCAGGCTGGAGAGCTGGGTGTCTGCAAGCGCATGCCCATGGAGGCAGGAAAGGGTCTCCAGGTACCTAGCAGAGGACGGGAGAGAAAGTGGGAGGTGGTCGGCAGGGCAGACACCACCTGCCTGGCTGGGGAGGGTGAAGGGGGTCAAGAATCTGGCCTCACAACAAAGGTTTCTTTCCGTAGCACAGGAAGACAACACATGGGGAAACAAAATCTCAGAGGTCTGGAGGCTGCCGGCTGGGAGGAGCTCTGGAAAGCTGCCCCAGAGCTAGGTGGAGGGTGCAGACCTACAGACCTACAGGAGCCAGGAGTGCAAAGACACGAGGGCCACGAGGGCAGGGCAGGCCTATGTTCTACCCGATGAAGGCTCCTCATGAGGCAGCGTTCGCTGCCCTCTGTAAGCTTGTGACATTCCTTGGGCGAGCCGGCCTTGATGCCTCAGCTGGTTTATGAACTTAATTCTGCATAAATAACTAAATCATCTATTCTCCATTACATGAGCAACAACGAGCATTGTGTCAAAGAGAAAAGAACCTAACATTTATTCTAACTTGGTCAGGGTTCCTGCTGACATAGAAATCCGGTGACTCCAATGCTGAAGCCCAGGCGCCTGGGGGGCTCAGGTGGTGCCTGCCTTCAGCTCAGGTCAGGATCCTGGCATCCTGGGATCGAGCCCCGCATCCCTGCTTCTCCCTCTACCCTTCTCCCCTGCTTCTGCTCTAATGAACAAATAAAATCTTTCTTTAAAAAATTTATTTGACAGAGAGAGACACATCAAGAGAGGAAATACAAGCAAGGGGAGTGGCAGAGGGAGAGGGAGAAGCAGGCTTCCCCGTGAGCAGAGAGCCTGATGTGGAACTCCAACCCAGAACCCTGGGATCATGACCTGAGACGAAGGCAGCCACTTAACACTGAGCCTGCCAGGCGCCCCATAAATAAATAAAATCTTCTAAAAAATCCAATACTGAAGCCCTTCACGATCCTCTCAAAAAAACAGAACCCACTAACACTGGCTCAACCTCACATCAGAATCCCTCAATGAACTCAGTCCTGTTTCCTCCCCACACCTCCCAAGGACTGGGCAAAGCCAGCCTGCAGGGCCAGGTCTCCTCAGAGCCCCCTGGGAACTAGGCTTCCGGCTCCAAGGCCTCAGAGCTCCGGGAGGTGCATCCGAGGCCCGCGCCGCCTCCGCGCGGTCTTAGGAAGCCTGTTCCCTCCTGAGCCACCTTCACCGACCGACCGGGCACCTGACCACTCCGGACCGTGCTGGGAGCGGCTAGGGCGGAAGGCTGAAGCGCCCGACCCCCATCTTCACTTACTCTCAGGGAAGATCTTTGCTTGGAATCCTTTGCCAAAAACCAGATTCTCCAGATTATTGAAGGCCTGGTCGAGGGAGTTAAGGGCAGGCCGAGCGACGGGGCCGCGCCCCCCGCCCCCCCCGCCCCCGCAGCGCAGGAAGGATACGGTGAGCGAGAAGACGAACAGGCCGGAGCCCAGCAGGCCCCCCTGGATGGTGAGCCACTCGGTGGACGCCAGCTGCCGGCTGTACATCTGCATCCCGGCGAAGAGCAGCAGCGACAGGAGGGAGGACAGCGCCAGCGAGGTGCCCGTGCCCACGGCTGCAGGGGAGGCGAGGACGCGGGCCGCGCGGTCGGGCCGGGCCCTCCCTCCCGCCAGCCGCAGGCCGAGCCGGCCCCCCGCGTCCCCGGGGCTGCGCAACCCCGCCGCGACCCCCCGCTGCCCCCGGGCGCCCGCTCCCTGCCGTCCCCCGGGGTCCCGGACACGTCAGCTCTGCGGGCAGAGGACCGGGACAGCCGGTCCGCCCCAACCCCACCCCACCCCACTTGTCCGTCGGGGAATCCCGCCAGTCCCGTTACCCATCGCGTGCTGCCCCCGGCTCAGTGGGCGCCGCAGGCCAAGACACAGAGGAACCGAACCGGGGCGGTCGGCCGTGCGCACGCGTCAGCCCCACTCGCGGACTCGCTTCCCCCGGGGCTGCTCGCGCTCCCTCTAGGCGCCTGGCCGCAGCGGCCCCTGCCGGCAGGGAGGAGACACTGCGTCCGAGAGCGGTCTCGGCCACCGCCCTGGTCCCCTGCCCTTCCCCGCTCCCCGAGCGTCTGCTGCCCTCAGCGCAAGCCGCTGGGCCCACGGCCCGTTGCCTCTAGCCCAGCCCTGTCTCCTTCGCCGTACGTGTCATCTCTAGTGCCTGTTCCTCACACGTCCCTCCCGCATGAGCCCTGCCTCGCATCTCCCGTGGACTCTTGCCCAAGCCAAAACCTAGTCCTCGCATTCTGGAGCCCATCCTTATCCGAAACTATCCTCCCGTTTCATCGCAGTAAGACTAGGGAGCCAATGAAGGATGCGCACATTAGAAATGGCTCCCCCCATACCGTTCCATGTTACCCAACCCCCCCTCCCCCCGCCACCGTCTTCCGAAAACCACGTGGGGAGAACTATTTCCCACCTCCTACCTCGACGGGCGCTGTGCGAGGCTGTCCCTGGAGCATGCGCAGTGACATCTCACCCCCACCCCTCCGCACACCCCCACGGGCTCCTGCATTAAGCCGGGGGTTCGCAGCCGCAGCCCGGATCAGGCACCCGGGGGCGGGCGGGCATGGTAGGGCCATGGCTGAGGGTGAGGATATGCAGACCTTCACTTCCATCATGGACGCACTGGTCCGCATCAGTGTGAGTTAAGGTGGGGTCGAGGGGAAGGGGGGGAGTAGAGGGGTCCAGGGCAGGCCGGGACCTCGGACAGGTGGACATGAGGCAAGATGCTGGGATGTAGTCAGGCGGCTGGGGATGGCAGAAAGGACTGGGGGAGGGGTTCGGGGTGCAGGTTGGAGAGGGTAATCCCGGGGCAGCCTGGAGGTGAGCCCCGTGGAGGCGTCCAGCTGCTGGGGTGCAAGGAACCGGGAGCTGCCCGGATGCAGCGGGTGGGCTGGGGTGGCCGCCAGCAGTGCACCAGGGCTGGGGCTGCAGGGCCAGGGGGCTATGCTCTGAGGAGGGGGCATGCGTGAGCTTGGATATTTTCCAAGAAAACTGAGGATAGGTGAGGGGCGATGAAGGAGCCGCCCCCAGGGTGCAGTTCCAAATTTGGACCCTTCGGCGAGACCCCACCCCACCGCGCCCCCACTCGGGGCTGCCTCCGAGCCCGGGGTTGTCATGGCAACCCGTGCCCGGCTCTCCCAGGGGCGGTGCCAACCCTGCTCCCCCCCCACCACTTCCTTCCCCCTCCCTGCCTGTCCCTCCCTCCTTTGTGTCAGCTGCGCCCCTGACCGGGATGGCTGCGAAGAGAGGGACCAAGGTGAGGTGTGGGGGTGGGGCATAGCTTGAGGACCCCCTCCACCAAAAAAGGGAGGGGTACTTCCGGTGGGGAGGGGGTAAGTAGGCGGGCGCTCTTTTCCCCCTCGCTTGGGGAGGGGATTCTGGCTAGTCGGGTCGTGCGGGGTGAAGGAGCGGGAGGGCCGGACGGTGGGGGGTGCAAACGGGAATGGGTTCGTGTTGGGGCCCCGAGGAGACGTCCGGGGAAGTGAGGGATGGAGAATGGAGGCTGGAGCGGCCGCCGCCGGCTGAGCCGCGGCAGGATGACAGACGCGGTGAGCAGGAGGACGGAGAGCGCGCGGCGCTGGCTGTAGGGAGGAGTCACGCCGGGAAAGGGGGTGCTGCCAGAAAAGGGGGCGGGGGTCTGCACCAAGCTGCAGAATGGGCGGTGTCCTTGAGAGAAGCTGGTGGCCCGGAGGTGGGGGGATGGGAGCAACGGCCAGGTGAGAGGGGCTGCAGGCCCAGCGCCCGCCCCGGGAGTGGAAGGGGTGGGGCTTGAGGCCAGGGGAGGCAGGTGCTCGGGCCGCGAGCCCCGACCGCCCCTCGGAGGCTCTGGCTCTCCGCGGAAGGGAGACCGGCAGCAGCCGGAGCCGGGAAGGTCTGTGCATCAGGCCCCGGGCGGGTGCTGGGGAAGAGCCCCAGGTAGCTTGCCCTGCCCCCACCTGAGACCCCTTGGGTTTCTCAGGGCACCTGAGAGGCCGGCTGCGGTGTGCCCCGGGGGTTCCTTGCTCCCACCCGACCTCCTGCTCCCTCCACAGACGAGCATGAAGAACATGGAGAAGGAGCTGCTGTGCCCAGTGTGTCAAGAGATGTACAAGCAGCCTCTGGTGCTGCCCTGTACCCACAATGTGTGCCAGGCCTGTGCCCGGGAGGTGCTGGGCCAGCAAGGCTACATGGGCCACGGCGGGGACCCCAGCTCCGAGCCCACCTCCCCCGCCTCCACCCCTTCCACCCGAAGCCCCCGCCTCTCCCGCCGTACTCTCCCCAAGCCAGACCGCCTGGATCGGCTGCTTAAGTCAGGTGGGCCTGGCTCCTGTGGGCCGCGGGCAGGGATGCTGGGACATCCGCTCGGGTCTGGGGCCTCTGAAGACCCAGAGCCGAGCTCTGGCACGACAAAATTTACTGTTTTAATTGAACAGATCTCCCCCTCCCCCCCAGCCAGCTGTAACTTTCAGCCCCCTCCCTCTCTGGCCCTGCCACAGGCTTTGGGACGTATCCTGGGCGGAAGCGAGGGGCTCTGCACCCCCAGGTGGTCATGTTCCCATGCCCGGCCTGCCAGGGCGATGTGGAACTGGGGGAGCGGGGCCTGGCGGGGCTGTTCCGGAACCTGACCCTGGAGCGCGTGGTGGAGCGCTACCGCCAGAGCGTGAGTGTGGGTGGCGCCATCCTGTGCCAGCTGTGCAAGCCACCACCGCTAGAGGCCACCAAGGGCTGCACCGAGTGCCGGGCCACCTTCTGCAATGAGTGTTTCAAGCTCTTCCACCCCTGGGGCACCCAGAAGGCCCAGCACGAGCCCACCCTGCCCACCCTCTCCTTCCGCCCCAAGGTGAGCCAGCGGGGAGAGGGGTCTGGCGGTGCTGGGTGGCTGGGGGAGCTGGGTCGGTGGACTTCCCAAGGGAGGCGGGCAGAGGTGGCCCCTGCCAGGCTCCATTTTCCATAACAAGGACAGAAAGGGACTGGGTCAATCTTTAAACTTCTTGGAGCCCCATCTTGTCTGCTGAGTGAGGATAAGACCCTGGGGGTTGTTGGGGGGGGTCCCAGGAGGTGGTTTGTGAGAGTCACCCCTAGGCTAAAAAGGTCTGTCCGCATTCATTCATTCACTGAGCAAATATTTATCCAGCATCCATGTGCCTGGGGCTATTCTCGGCATTGGGAATAGGCAGTGAGCAAGGTGGACGAGGTTAATTATTAGCCACAAGGTGGACATTAATAATCATTACTCTTGCTGTTACCGCACATGTGGAGGTGGGAGGGAGCAAGGATGCCAGCGACGCTCCCGTCGATGCCGCAGCGCGCCACCAGGTGGCACTGCGGAGCACCCCCCCGCTGGACTCTCAGGCCTCTTACCTTCTCCCCTCTCAGGCCCGCTGCCCAGGCTGCACACTGCTTCTGCCCCAGGTCAGCAGCCTTAAAACCACCGTTTGCTGATGATGTCATTGCTCCTTCTGCCCCTAGGGCCTGATGTGCCCGGACCACAAGGAAGAGGTGACCCATTACTGCAAGACATGCCAACGGCTGGTGTGCCAACTCTGCCGGGTGAGGCGTACCCACGGTGGGCACAAGATCACACCTGTTCTCAGCGCCTACCAGGCCCTCAAGGTGAGGACCCTGCCTCACTCCACCGTGCACCAACCCGCACTCACGCCCTCTCCCACCTCCTCCTGACTGCTGGCTTCCACCAAGCGAGGCACGATGCCCACCTCTCTCTTCCCCCTCAGGACAAGCTGACAAAGAGCGTGACATACATCCTGGGAAACCAGGACACAGTGCAGACCCAGATCTGTGAGCTGGAGGAGGCTGCGAGGCACACTGAGGTGAGGGAGGGCATGGCGGTGGGCTCTGGGCCCCGCCCACGACTGGAAGCAGGAAGGCATGTGGGGGGGGGCACAGCCCAGTCCCCTGCTTGGCAGCTCAGAGTTCGTGGGTGTGTCGAGGTTCTGGTTAAACCAGGCTGGCAGGAACATCAGTGCCCCAGACCAGGCTGTCCCCGGGGTTATGATGGGAACAGTGTGGCTGTCACCCAGGACCAGGACAGTTTGGAAAGCCCTCAGGGACATGGCTCAGATGCCCTCGGGCTCAGCTGCCCACTTAGGACACCATACATCCTTGGAGCTAGGGCGAGGCTCTGTCTCTGGTACCTTCTGCCAGTTTGCTTGAATTTGCTGACAAGGGGACAGACAGGAAGGATGGCCCGGAGGCAGGGGACATCGGTGTGGTTCGAGTGGGCGTTAGTGCAGTCACATTCTCTTTTGTTTGGGGGAGTCCTTATGGGGTCAGGATGGTGGTGTGGGGCTCCAGGAAGGGTGGCACAAAGTGTCAGGCGTTGAGCCCCTCTGGGTGGACAGGTGCCTTTGGAGCTGTGGGCCTGGCCCTGGTGGCCTGGCTGGGAAGGATTTCCCTGGATCTTTGGTGATCCGAGGGAGGCTGGCACAAGTGCTGCCTTCAAGAAGATAGTGAGTGTTGCTCTCTGGGCAGGTGAGCGGTCAGCAGGCCAAGGAGGAGGTGTCCCAGCTGGTGCGGGGACTGGGGGCTGTGCTGGAGGAGAAGCGGGTGTCCCTGCTCCAGGCCATTGAGGAGTGCCAGCAGGAGCGCCTGGCCCGTCTCAGCGCCCAGATCCAGGAGCACCGGAGCCTGCTGGATGGCTCAGGTCTGGTGGGCTATGCCCAGGAGGTTCTTAAGGAAACAGACCAGCCTTGCTTTGTGCAAGCAGCCAAGCAGCTGCACAACAGGTAGGCAGGGGCACAGGCTCCAGGGGGCCCGGGTGTCACAGGTGTAGCCGGCGGCTAAGCTGGTGTCTGCACCGCTGCCCCATGGAGACATGGGTCCTGAGGACCGTCACCAGGCCACACTGATAGCCAGCTTGTTGGAGGGACCAGGAGGTGACCCAAAGCAGGTGCCCAGGCTCTAGGGACAGGCAAAGCAGCATCAAGGGGAAGGGCGGCTGTCCAGCTAGGGGTGCCTG